ATTTCATAACCATACTAAAGAGTTTATAAGAAAGTATTGCAAATAGTACATAATAAGTGAAAATCTATGTATATAAAAATAAATCCCTATATCCTTTGGTCACGCCATCACACATGAACGGCTGGATTGATTTCGTTAATTATTTTTTATTGTTCTGTTATTATCAGTGGAAGGTTCTTATGAAAGAAATAAATAAGAAAATTATGCGGAAAAACTTAAAATTTAAGAATATTTAACCACAATATAAAATTATTTTTAACATTAGTATTTTGGATAATATAAATATTTTTAATGTCCCCTTATGACGTTCGACGTTTTGATTTCAATATTCATAATTAACACAGGACAAAGTCTGTCATTTAGTAAAAAATATATATAAAAATTATTGACATTTCACAGTAAAATTAATACATAAATAGTAAAAGGTGTCTGGCGACCGTGACCCGGATTTAACGACATCCATTGTTCCTAGACAAATTATACCAAAATTCGTCAGAATCAAAACACTGGCGGGATAAATTCACGACAGCAAACAAAGGGTCGGCCGGAACATACCGCGGAACGACAAATGTCCTACTAAATGACAAATAAAAGCTGTGATAGTTTAAATTGGGATCCCAAAAACTGAATGTAAACAAACATCGGACCCAAATTCTGCTAGCAAAAGTTTCGGGGGTAAAGGAAAACATTGAAAACACGCGGCGAGATCGGCCCGTTCACTTATAATTTGTGGATGAAGTTCTAACTATTAGTGGCGGTAAATATCTAACTACAAACATATATGTATACAACGATATATGTTTCCTGTAATGTAACCAAGATCCAAGAGCTTAATCATATTATGTTTATACGAAGAAGACATTGAAAACCATACACCAATCATCTGGTCTTATGATTTGTAGACAGAGTTTCAACCATTCCAACCATTAGTAACAATAAATACCTAACTAAAGACATTTACGTCATTGTACTAAAATTTTGGATAATGCAACATATCGTATTCAAGACCTTTAACCATAATACGAAGAACATAACAAATTCACGACAGACACCAGGCTCAGGCTTATGATTTGTGGATGGAGTTTCAAATATTAGTAGCTCTAAATATCTAACTTCCTGTATAGCGGTTATGTAAACTGAGGCTTACAATCATAGCATAGGTTTTGAAATCACATCTAAGAATTGTTTGTTAGCATATTTCAAACGAAATTAATGTTTTCTCCAGATTCCATGTAATCTTTAATGAGTAGTCACGTACTTATAATTTAGATGTATCAAATTAATAGAACAATATCCTTTTTCTGCTTATAATTTATTCACATTGAATTAAACGTAGAATATGTTAGCACGTGGGTAGGCGTATGCTTTTTGTACTTCAGCCTCTGTAAAAAGCCTTACTTAATACTAAAGTAAACTTTGCAAAGCGTTTAAGTAGCAACGTTTAATTTTTATATATAAAATATTTTTATTATGAAAGATTATACCTGCTATTCACTTTATGAACTCTTGGAAAAGGTAGCTTTAGTACCTACTGGCGTAACAGCCTTTTATAGCTATTTCAAAATAAAAATGAAAACAAAAGCGTTATACGTCGTGGAACATGCAGTAGAAATGGCAACATCATACGACGCGAATGTAAATATTGTTGTTTCGGGAGTAATTTGTTGGTAACGGGACTTGATGAGCATGTAGATTTATATTTTGATACCACAAAATTACTGAACCTGTGACCGATGACTCTAGCATTAGCGTTTAATATTACAAGTTATTTTTCTATATACAGGAAAAAATTGTAGCCGAAGCACAAAATTTAATAGTGTGTTCGCTGCAGTGAATTATAGTTACGTTATTTTTCTCTCTTTTTTAATCGGCTAACATTTAAGGTTAAATAGAAAAAACATGTCCAGAAACACGAAGCTACGTATGATTTTTTACTATACTCGGAAGTCGATGACCGTTTTTGTCAATATAGCTACCAACTGTTTGTTCACTACAATTAATTTTTGTTTATTAAAATCATTTTTCTTCGCAAATATGTTCTGTTAATATTAGTACCATAGGGAAAAAAATGTGTACTGATGTAATTTTTTTTTACAATACAGGTTCTAAGAATTTTTAGAAATCATTAAGGTACCGCATTTTGATAATTCTACTAAATCACTATTGTCATAGAAAACGAAGCAAGATATACAAACTTGGTAATCGCAGTGACCTATATAACGATATTCGATTTCAATCAGGGCACTATACGGGAGAATTCCAATTAAATTGCATTGAATGAAATCTAGAACGATTATAGAATCCGATGGGTAGGCAAATTAAAAGCGGCATACTCTAGGATTTCCTGTTCAATTTTCATGGAGTTCCACGCGATAAAAATCCATTACGTTATCGTCGCGAGAGGCCTCCGTGTCGCTGTGGTTCATTTTAACACTAGAAGAGACAGAGAAATATGTCCAACGGCTGACAGATCACTCGTTGCTCGATTTTGGCAGCGATTGTGTTGTCGACTGTTGTAGTACTTCACCCGAAATAAGGTTTTGCCTTTTTCGTTCAAAGCTTTTATGATATTACACCTGTTTTTAATCTTTATAGGTATGTTCGTTTGTACATGTTATTTTTCGTATTCAACCTGGACTATGCTTTTGCAGTCAATTAGTTTTGAAATCGAATTTAAAACTGTATTCATTGTAACATAATTATTATATCATGCGAGTTTAGAACGGTGATAGATTTATCAATATTGGCAATAAGAAAGAAAAATAATGAAAAATCGGTATTTAAGATTCGAATTCATGATATTAAATTGTATTTATTTTAGATCACTCCCTTTGTTTATTTTGATGTGACCAACTAACGTATTCGTATTTAACTGATTTTTTCTTGGTCTTAACAAGGTAATAATAATGGTATTAGTGTAAATGGAAGTGAGATGAGCTAATACTGGGAAGAGCTAAAATCTCAATTTGGCACAGCATAAAAATAACTCAAAAAACACTTTTGTCTGCTCTTGAGGTTATAGATATTATTTTAGATGAATCTAGTATCTGAGTTGAATTTTGAATGATGATATGACAAAAATCCTAGTTTTATAACACTATACTGGATAACTTAATCAGCGGTAAGCTTGAAATATGAACCAAAATTTACTATTCTAGATACGCAGACCAACACGAATGGTTATAATATTAATAAGTTTTAGTAAATTAGCTATCTGTTTATGTTTTTATGTATATTACCATATCTAGGTGCAACCATTTTCACCGCAAGCCAGGATTTCGCTTTAATGCGATTCCCTAGCAATCACATGCTTCATTTTGTATTCTCGCAAACACTTTTTTTCCGTATATTCCCACCCTTAATTCGCAAACCGACGGAATCGTCGATATCTTTTGAGAATTTTACATTAGTGACCTAATAAGGGGGATGTCGATAATGGATAGGAACGCTTGATGATGAATCATTAATGCCATTCTGGTTTGCTAGCAAGAGGAATCTTTTATTTTCACATCAAGTTCGGATATTAATCCATTTCGACGTCTTTAGAATGCGAAATGCATCGATTTATCTTAACGTTTCTCATTGTCTTTTGTTACATTTTTTTTTATTACTGATCATTATCAATAATGATGACTGGATAATTGCTTTGTGAACTGGAACTATAATTTTGGGATTGGTTATTTAGTTTTATATGACACCGAGTACCACAAACTATAATAACCTCTATACGAATAAAGGAGAAGAAGAAGAAAAATAGGTTGTTAAAACAAAATGGTTAGATAATAAAAATAAAGTAATGACTAAATGAATACATATGATAAACAAAGATTATGCAATACTCGCTAGAAGGTGACATAGTCTCTTCATAGCGCTGTCTTTAAAATATCCTAACTCAGGTGTTGGTTGCATGACTGTGACCATTTTTTCCCGTCTCATGACTGTAAAGTATTTTTCTGAAACTATTCCATCAAAAATGATAAAATATACAATTACTGCAAATTCGGTGATGGGATGACTTTGGTGTCACTCTAATCGATAGTCATAGTCTTCATGATTTGGTTTATTTGGTACTTTGATTCCATTTCGCAAAAGTGTGAACGACCTCGCATTAATAATTGACTCCAGTTTAAACTGGCAGACTAGAGAAGCCAGCGTTTTTAAAAAAGTTACAAAATACACATCGAATAATTTTTTTTCGCTAATTAACATCAAAACTAGTATGCAGAATTAATGTTTCCCATATCGACTAGAGTGACGTGTGCTATCTCGACCTGGAAGCAGATCAACTTAACAAGCTTGACTGCCTTCTGAATAACTGCATTCGATTCTATTACAATCTGCGAAAGTATGATCATGTGTCTGAATATAGATCTCAACTTAAATGGATGCCCATTCGGCAGCGCAGGTCCATGCGTACTTAGACCGCCTTTTTTTCATTATTAGACTCTCCAAATGTCGTACATCCTATTTCGCACATTCCACTTTCAATACTTGTGCATAAGTCATAGTAAAAATCTCCGTTCTTCTCTTAATCGTTTGCTTTTCTATCCATCTCATCACTATGATGTTATCGATTATTTTATCTTTATTAAATCTATTCTACTATGGAATTCTCTCCCCTTAAACCTTAGAATGTTTACTAACCGGTATGCGTTCAAAATGACATTACACAGCTATATTTTGGAACAAATTCTGTGGTTAGTCGTCGTATTAAGTAAAAGTCTAAACATATTTGTTATTATCAAATATACTTTTTATGTGTTTTATATATATAGGTAGATGTATGTATTACGTAAGTGTCAGATATCTGTACTTCCATTGAAATTTTTACAAATGGCCTTTGGTTACACACCTTACCATTTATTTGCTAGAACTACCTCAACATGTGTAATATGTGTTAAATAAATAAAGAAATACATAGTGAAAATTGGTAAGATAAGAGTGTACAGGTATATCTCGCGTTTGACATATGATCAATGAGGTATAGGAATGTGTCATACCGTTTTGCACGAGCAGCGTATTGTCTCTCGCGAGTGGCAGCTCAGAGTCAGTTAGTGTAGCGTCCGAAGCGTTATCTGACGCCGAAGTGGGTGTAGTCGGAGCGGTCGGCGAGTCGGACAAGCCTCGGCTGCGCGTGCGGTGTCGCCCGCTGCCGTTACTTGATCCACTGCCGCTGCCCGAGCCGTACGGGTGAAGCCGGCCCAGGCCTGGTCAAAAATAATAAAATCACTATTAATAATCATCATTATCAACCTATTATAGTTCCCACTGCTGAGGCAAAAGCCTTCCCCATGGATGGAATCGAAAAGATGGAAGTTAAACAACTTTTGCAAAGGTCGGTTGTAGAATGGGTAACCTAAAATTCGTTATCTTCTGAAGCAAGGAAGGTGCTTCAGAAGGCACGTTAATCCGTTAGTCCCGGTTGCATCTACAGTCATGGCCATTCTTGCTATCTCGAAAAGTTTAATATTAGGAACAGAAACAATTTACAATAATTAAGCATATCGAGAAATAATAAGAATAATAATAATTAGAGGGATTTGTACCTTTTGCCCTTTTGCCTATTTGTTTTAGACCCTGATATTTCCTCGCAGTCTGTGCTAAAAGCACTTAATACAATGATATCAGGAACGCATAGAAATTACATGATAAAACTCCTGCTTAGAATTAAATATACCTTTGAAGAACAATTAGCAACTTTATTACTTATTGTGGCGTTAATACGGACTAATATAATAGTTTCCATGTCAACTACTTTGTACTAACCTAAGACACAAAGAAAAGAAGCAATGTAATTTAATTTACTATCGATTGATCTGCAATATTTATTTAGAAATAGCCTTGAGTTGAATTAAATTGCTATTGTCTAAATAACAATATAATTATGATCTTTTTTAATAAAGTGAGGCAAGAAATTCTTTAAAATAAAAACGATTAATACTAGCTATGAGTTATGTAAGTCGTCCAATTTTAAAATGTTACACGAAATCTGTCTTCAAAATTAATAGTGTCTTTGTTTGATTTGCAATAATATTTTATAACAGAAACATCGATATTAAATTCCTTACAAAATTGAAGAAATATAACCCGTGCTTCGTCCTTATTAAATCCTCATCGAGAACAAATGAAAATACACGAAGTTCCTTTTATCTTTTATAAGAATAAGGGCCAATATCTGGTAGAAGCATATAAAGTAAAAAATACGTACAGAAACAACATCAAAAGATACGTTGCGAAGTAAGAATATAAAAATAAAGTCAAAGACAAAAAGGTTATTCCGCAAACTGAATATTTTAAAGTTGAAGATGACTTTCTCATACACCAAGTACTTTCCAACTCAGATATCGAAGTGAGTCTCGATCAAAATAATATAACAAAAGGAAAGAAGCCTGATAAACAAACATAGGAAGGGCAACCGTAATTAGAAATAATAAGGCTTCGGAACATGACAAAGAGTACAATAAGAATACTCCTTATACAAATTTTAATGTAAATGGGGAAGAAAACGAGGCGACCGGCTATACAGTTAAAGTCAATGTTTTACTGATAATAATAAATGAGCTACAGCATATTATTACCGATTATAAACAAGCATTCGTTATAAGTTCTTAAATCGTTGGTAATTTATTAACGATCTTATTCTTGTTAATATTAGATTTCCTCATAAATTGTAGTTAAATACTACGTCTTTTAAATACAAGGGAAGTAATGAGCAACAAAGACAATGGGTTCCTTATTTTTACTTAAAATGATTTCCTATAATACTGAGGCTTAGTTATTTATTTCACTTCCTTTCAGATCCAGCAATAATACACTTTGTGATAAAAATAGTACCTAATCGGGAGTACGACTAATATAATATTTCTTTGCGTATGTAAAATAGAAAGTTGGGGAATAAAACATTTCATTTTGTGCACAAAAAATAAAGCAATAAGGAAAAACAGTAGGAAATGTGAGTGAATATTTCCAACACGTTGGCTCACCTGTAATCAGGGCTTGCTTCTTTGATGTCGCGGGGCCTTTATTAAGTAATGCTGTGGTTCTCAGAAGGAAAAATGTTCGGGAGACTTAAGAGACTGCTCGATGAAACTCTCTTGACTTAGCGATTTATGAGAGAAAGCTTTATATCTGCCTTTCCGGCCTGCTCATTCTACAGAGCCTGAGTCGAGGCTTATTATATATTTAACAACTAGTCCAGGATTACAAAGAAACTAAATTCATGTTACTACAAGGTACATACTTGGATTTTATGGTTCTTGACTGCAAATAATCTTGAAGTTGAAATAAATGACGAATGTAGCGACTAACATAAACGTCCTACTGTACATACACAGGTTAAAGAAATAAAAATATTTAGCACAAAAATCTTATTTACAAATTTCAAAATAATAAATTTTAACGTAGCACAGTGTGTTATAACTAAATGGGTTTCATAGATCTTGCGTTATATTATTTATTTTTATGTATTATAATCACAAATATTGTTTTTTAATTTTATTACGAGATTTAGTTAAAAAGTTATCTCATTACAGATAAAGTTAATGTTCATTCGGAAAATTATAAAAACCGCTAACTTCAGCGTGATAGTCATACGGGATCATTAAAAAGAAAATATTAAAAAGAATAAACCCGACGTAGAGGAGTGGTCCTGAAGCTTTGAGTGAAAACTTTCTAATTTAAGGCAAACATCTTGAGAGGCACAACTCAAAGGACTCGAAGAAAATAAAATTAGTTTCGAATGTACCTCATTACCGGACTCCGTAATTGAGTATGCAGATTGCATGTGAAAAGTTTTTTAAAGGGTGACCACGTCAACTGGGTCGGTTAGTGCCGGGCGGTTTCAGTCACGACTAAAGAGAGAATTTCAAATGAAAAGTTTTTGAGCCGGCAAATTTAAATGAACCAAGCAAAAAGCACGGGATCTAAGTTAAAACTGCTATGCCGGAACGCGTTTACGTTTTAGTTGAGTTGTCGTTTAAATACATAAAAAAAAGTAATTTCAATCGGCTTAAAATCGTTACCGATAAAGTTTTCGAAATTAAATAGACCTTCGAATTAAATATTTCGTTGTGGTGTTGTGATGTACCAAACAAGCGCCAAGCATGGTTATATCTAATCTTGTGTTACTTAAATTTTGCTCAATAATAAGGTCCGATATATTCTTATGATATTTATCCATTTAATAAAGCAACTTTAAAATAATAATAACATAATTTCATATTACCTACAGATATGAAAAATTGAACCAAAATAAAGAACTTGATTAATAATATCGTTAGAGGATAGATATATTTTTTTATAATTTGAGCACGATCACAACATGAATCTAGTTCACGTAATCTAAATAAAGTTACAAAATTTTAAATTCTATAATTTAAAGCGATTAAACGCGTGAAAATATAAAACCGAGAGTGCGAAAAAATTATGATATATGAACCTAATAGTACTTATAAATTTATTATTTGTCACCTACGTCTTAAAGAAACTTCTGGCTAACATCTAATCAAATAGCCACAAAACTTGTTCAATGCAATAATTAAGGACGCTGCCGACGGAACCCTTCACAAAGGAGGTCCAAACAAAAAGGACAATGAGCTCGTTAGAGCAGAATTTTTGCCAGAACCTCCCCCCACTTCACGATCGAGTTGGAGAGACTTCTGGTTGAGGAATGCTAATTGTAAGTGGATTGCATAATGCTGATGCCGAGTTGGGAGATGCATGTTTTGTGCTATATTTATAATAAATAAAAATAAATTTTGCACTCCTGATTATCCGGTAGTCTGCAATATGTGTGAAACTCTCTTAAGAAAAACAGATACACTGTTTATTCTGCAATAGGGTTGGAGTTATCTTAGTTGATATTACTATAGGTAAATCTATTGCTTCAGTTGTTTTACAATTTTACAATAGTGTCTTTCTACTCTACAAATTAAAATCAAATTACCAGTATATTACTATTCATAATGAAAAATGCTTAAAAAATTCATCTCGTCTCAGAGTACCAGGGACAAATGGATTTTTTAAGCATTTTCAGAATATTTTCTAGTAAAGCATTGTGAATGCGAAAATAATCAAATATAATAAGTATATTAGCACCTAGTGCATAATACTCTATTTTAAAAGAACACTCTGATTATAATCCTTTTTCCACTTTTCATATACAACACAACTCTCATAGTTAATGACATAACAAATTTCATCACACTATATTAATAACACTTATCACGTTCGTTCAAAAGCTTCAGTATTAATAAACTAATTCGCGAAAAAAGATTTTCTAGAATCGTCTCGCGTGGGCGCCATTGGACTAACATAAATAAAATCGTTTGTCTGTTTCCTCTGACACTGATAATTCTGGACATATCGCTAGCGCAGGACGTCCGCAACGATAATTGTGACCGGTCGGTTTATTGGACACATTTTTGTTTCCAGAATTACTCGAAACAACAAATCGATTATTGGGTTGTTTTCTTTTAAAAAGTATTTATGGTTTTTGGTGTTCCCGCAAAAGTAATTCAAGTTAAAATGATAAGAGCAGTCCTGATGAATTAATTTGTTTTTAAATAACAGTAACGTTCGTCAAACTTTTTTTCGATTTCCATGCAGTGATTTTGTATTACACGTGATATGATGTCATGTACATTATAATATGTAGTTTTATTTTTAACATTAATAAAAATATTCCCAATGTTAAGATTCTAGTCAAAATTCTGGGATCATTCAATATATTTAATATCAGAAGAAGTACCTCCATGAGTAAAATCGAAGTATTTCTCATAATTGTCATAACCATAATAAAACTTAAATTTTAATCCTATAAAAAGAACTAAATCATATCACAATACAAGGCACACGGCCCCTAAAAAATAGTGAACTCATAAATATACAATTGGCATGTTGCTTACATAGCAGAATCACGCCGACTCGAAAAAGGACTAACCCCCAAAGATTCTACTGAAAAGATTCGAATTCGAACAAATAAGAACAGGGATCCTTCCGCACGTATTGTTGGCATTTCGTTACTCTAAAAGAAACTACAATTCCAATCCGAAAACTCGCATAAACGAACCGGCAAACTCAGTACCCCTAGGGAAGACACAAACCACATATTCTGTGTATACACGCCAAATATTTAAACATGATAATGGATCACCGAGTTGATTTGGGAAAAACTATGACATTTCATTATTTATCTCAGTCACTATGT